TGCATTACTTTAACATAGGAGTAAAAAAAAAAAAAAAAGAAAAGGGGGGCTGGGGGGAAAAACGAACTGTATCCTCACTTGTCTCGTGAAAGCTGCTTAAGTACAACATGAACTGACAGGCTTAGTGTAAAACTGCTTTCTATAAACACCATTTTCTCCCATATATTATTACGCTTAAAAAAATAAACCCTTCTCTATGAAAACAATAGTAATGCTATAATTCTTTTTTTTTTTTTGCGATGCTAAGTAGTACTTAGGTAAGCTCTACTGAATATATACACTCACCGTCCACTTCATTAGGAAAATCTTATTGTTCGAAAAACAAAACCAAAACAAAACAAAACAAAAATGACTCCTCTGTGGAGAAACTGATGTTTCTGCCGAGCGTCGAGCCAAAAGGAATGAACTTTTTAAGGAAAAAACGTGTCGTATTGAGGAACATGGGACAGGGACTCAATATATTGTATTGCAGTCATGTGATTGGCAGATGAAATATTTGCTTTGAGGATCAGTTGAGTAGGTGAACCTAATAAAGTGGCCACTGAGTGTACATCGCTGCCATTTTGTTTTTTTGTCCTCTCCGCTTCTCTTGGTAATTTTGACTTTGATTCAGTGCGTGACACAGCGTGTGAAGCACACCTGCTGGTGTAGTGTGTGTGTGTTTGTGTGTGTTTATGGTGCGGGATATAAAGATTTCACTGTTACGTTTCTGGCACTTTCACTGAATTTTGGAATCGTGAGAAAAAAATAATACAGTGCATGGGAGTTGGTGACTCCTTTCAGGCTGTAAGTAAAACGTTGGCATTCGTTCATGTCTGGTTTCTGCGTTGGGCAACAGTCACCTGTTCCACGTGGTTTGAATTCTGTACATTGATTAAAAACAAAGAGTGTCGTAAAACAAATGTATACATGATGGAAACTGTAGCTTTTTTTATGACAATGTGCCTGCAAACTAAATACAACGACAAAAGTGAGACAACATGGTTCATCCCTCTGGTATTAATGACGTTAGAATAGGGTTAGTGTCATTGTGACCTCTGACCCCTGATTCTCACTGGCTTCTCAGCTTTTTTAAAATTTTATTTTCAGACAAAGCTGAAGTTCCTTGACAGACAGTCTTTTTCCTTGTAGACATTTGCTTTACATGAGTTTTAAATGGACAGTGGAGCATATGGGATGTTGAGCAACGGCTCTTTGCGATTTGTATCCTCAGGCCAAAACCCCCTGAAAAACCAACTGTCTTCACTGGCTGTGGGATAAGGCATCTGGTCGGCCCTGATGAGAATCAAGATCTCGGGTTCAAATGCTCGGTTCCTGTTGAGTTCCTGTTCCTGTAGGTTAAGCCACGTCTCCGTGTTAGTGGAACGTCCATATTTGGCTTCTGCTTGTGAGTGATCTTGATGCTGTCTGAAGCGAACACGGCTTGGATGCCAGGCCTGGTGCTCAGGAGCGTGAAGCTATCTGATGGTGATGATGTTGACAGGGACCCTCTGTGTTTATCTTTATGAGCTAAGTAATGCCTGCGTGGTTGTAAGGAGATCAAAACGTCTTCTTAAGGACAACCCGTTAAGAGTTTGCTTGTGGTGGTAGGTAGATTTGTGTCGTCTTGAGTGTGATGGTGGGACGTAGCCCTCCTCTGCCCACCCCTATACTATATAGCCGGTCAGGTCAAGAAGATACGAGGTCATGTCTATGATGTGGTCCAGTATACCGTCTTTCTCCTGGTCATTGGGCATGCCTTGCTCACTTTTCTCGCACTGAGCACCGGAGTAGCCGTTCTTGCACAGGCATTTGTTGGGCTCCGTACACACTCCTCCGTTGCGGCACGCTGGTTCACATTTAGCTACATCCAAGAGAGAGAAAAAGTGAAGAAGGTCACAAAACGGAAAAAAAAAGCTTGTTCTCTGAACTGTAAGTCAACCGCAGTAGTCAGATGTGGCACTTGTTCTATCTTATTTTTAATTTAATTCTAAAAGCTTAAAAACTAAAAATTAATTAAATTAATTATTAAAACAAAATTAATTAAAAATTTAATTCTAAAAGCTTAAAAACTAATATTTTTCAGATGAATGTTTTCTCATTATTTCTTGGTCAAGCCTTGATAATTTTCTAGCCTAAATTGAATTTCTTTAATCCAAACCGATGGTAATGGGAGATCACTAAAACATTCGGTGAATTTTAAATCAAACCAGAAAACACACCAGTAGACGTCAGAGCATTTCATTTGTACGGAGAACCACCGTCGGTTCTTCGTACATCTGTTATAACCCTCGTTACTCACCAATCCGACAGAAGAGTCCTTCCCAGCCGGGGCTGCAGCAGCACTTGCCAGTGGGAGTGCAGTGTCCGTTCTTACAGTGTCGGGAACAAGCTGTCATCAGCAGCTCTGGAGACTCCACCTGACGCTGGCACTCTTTGGGTGCATGAGGCCTAACAGTTGTCAGAAATGAAGGGTAGAGTGAAGAACACGTTACACATGCTGCGGAAAACGATTCAGTTTCTGCACGAGGCAAAATCCGTGACCAACATCCAACTACGAACTGTGCAGGAGCTCAGTCCCCCAACGGTGATGTCATCAGACATCTTACTGATAAAATAGTCATATTTTAGTGATATTTTCTTTAGCGTGCCGAGATACATTGAGTGATTGCACAAAGTTCTTTTTAAACCAAAAAGTAATAATATTACCACAGTAGGAACTGAGTTCATCGCTGTGGCCCAGATCTGGGCCAAAAGATTTCTAGGCTTTTTACTACAATCGCCTCATGTGTGGGCCACTCTGGGGTTTAAATAATTATTTTTATGGGACAGATGAAAACCAGCAATGCTGCATTGTTGCCAGAACATGCATACAATTCTCACCGAAGCTTCCAGACTTCGCTGCTCTGCGTAAAGGATCATTTTCACCTGGGGTGTAAAGAAAACTCCCAGTGTTTGTGTTGACTGCGGGGAGATTTGGCGAAGCCCGCTGCAGACTTTATAGCGAACTGACTTTACAGGTCGGAGTGTGGAGAAAGATGCAGATTTCAGCTGCGGTGAGTGATGTCATGCAGTGAAGACTTTATTTAACGGCGCGACGGTTCGGTGTGTGGTTTTCATCGACTCTGACAGAGACACTGACGGATGGCAGTGATAAAACTGCGACTGTCTGCATTAAAGTTGCTCTTTATTTGAAAGATGGAGGGTGGATGAGGTAAGGGGTGGTGGAGGGGGGGGCGGGCGTTGATTCCCATGCTCCCTTCAGCACCCAACTCCAGACTTCATCCACCCTGGCTTTTGTTGTTGCAAGCTGCGTATAGTTAAAAAAAAAAGAGCGAAGGAGGGAAGCAAACAGAGAAGGGGAGAGAGGGAGAAAGAGTGAGAGTCCCAGGAGGATTGGAGTTGGAGGTGGAGGTGGAGGGGGTCTGTAGCTTACACTGTTAATAGTAGGCAGGGGTCAGCAGAGCTACTAAACAGTTTGTGCGGCTGCCAGGGTGGCTGTGAAAACAGCACCTGCTGGTAGCGCCACTTGACAAAGGCAGCTGGGTCAACAGCCACTGTGGGAATTTATTAACTTTGGTAAGGGGTGGTGTGTGTGAGTGTGTGTGTGTGCAAGAGAGAGAGGGGAGAGAGAGAGTCGGGGTAGGAGAAGTGCGACAGATCTCACCCATGAGGTAGTTGCCCTGCGACGGAGCGAGACGGTGACTTTGATGAAAAAAAAAGTATGAAAACACTGATGATGTTGTAATGAAAATACAGATGGAGCAGAACGACCAATCAAAACTGTCAGAAACTGTGGCGCCCACAAGTCTTTCCTGTCGAGGCGGTGACGCTCCGACTTGTTTCCGAGCCGTACGATTGTTACATTTGTGTGTGTGATCATGCGAGCCGGTGCGTGTTTAGCTTGTTGGCTCACGGTGCCCGTTTGATTGACACGAGTTGTTTGTGAGAAAAGGGCTGTGGAGTGGTGTACATTGTGCACACGGACAATGGCTTAATCAAACGGCCCAGTGTGGTCTCTTTTGCTGTTTTGTCATCCGACTCCATTGTTTGGGGCCGTCTTTTGTAGCTTCACTCCTTGTTTTAATTGTGCAAGAAATTTACTGTGCATTGTAGGAGCCGGGGCTATTCAGCGGGACTGGCAAGCAGCTTTGTCAAGAGGAGGACCACAGCAGAGATGGAGGAAGATTTAGGAGGGATAGGCAAAATAAAGAAAAGGCCTTTTTCTGCAGCGGCATGCTGGGAGCTACCATACCACATGCTCACAAAGCTCACAGATGTGCATGTTTGCGTGCGCACACCACCCACACGGTGCTGCAGGGAAGCGTCCATCCAGATAAATGTGTTCAGTGCAGGCCCTTCTTGTGCACATCCAACAGTTTGAGACTGCTTTGGCTAACGGCGTTTAAATTTATGCTCGACGTGGTCGCAGCTGATAAATATGTGAAAAGCAGTCGTACTATTTTACACCAATCATCTGACACGTCTCAATTAATGTATGAATTCCAATCCCAGGGCGAAGGAAAATCTTTAAGAGTAAACCAGATTCTGCTGCACACAACAAATGCCTGGTGAGTTATAATATTATAAACATGAAACTTTATTACCCGGCTCCCATGGTGTGTGGTGTAAACAGTACACCGAGGGGTTGAAACAAATCTGTGTCTTGTGCTCCGTCATAATGTCATTGTTTGTCACTGTGTTTTCTTTTCTGTGAAAGAAACGCATCTTTCAAGCATTATTTTTTTTTTCCTGGCATAAATATAATGCTCTCGCAGTATAAATAATTGTTATTTAATACAGTCTCAGTGGGAGTGGAAGGTTCAGGCAATCACACTTGAGTTTCACTCACAGTGAGGCCGGCGATGTTAGCGCTTTTCGTCCAACTATTCTCTGTTTATCGGCGTTGTGAAGAAATAACATTTGTTGCAGACGTTACGTCACGTATTCAGTGTACTTGGTTAAATATCAACTTTTCATTAAGGCCTTTAATGTCCTCTGTGAGGGCATCAACACGGCATGGATATAGAACAATTTGAAAGTCGTACATCAGCGTTTTGTTTTTAATTCTAACTCCGCTTTTCTACAGAAATTACAAGCAGAAAATAGTACATGTACGGATGCAGCTTTTTGTTGAAACATTAGATACTTTAGGAAATAATATTTCCAATATTGTATTGTCTACTATTTAATGTCCAAGAGCAAGGCTGCAGGTAATATTTCCAATATTGTATTGTCTACTTTTTAATGCAGCAGAGTTGTGTGTCACACTATCCAATGGTTATCCTCCAGTCATAATCTTGTAATGATACACGTCACATAAGTGTCATCTGCATAGAGGGAAACATGGCACCTGGTGCCCTATCCTTAATTTAACATCCTACTTTAATTCCACCTTTTTTTCCTCATTCTGTCCACATGAGGTCACTACATGACATCTGACATATATATTTAAACTGATGTATTTAAAAACCATTGGTTTGTGCTCTACCATTACTTCTCTGTGGAATGTGCATGACTGTTTCCACCTCGTATGCAAAGTCTAAAGTTCAAACTGTCTCAGGTCATGTAATTATTATATTTTTATTCTCAGAGATCTAGAACAAGCTGAATTGTTGATACGATTATCTCTGAAATAACTATCTTTTTTTTTTTACATCAGAGTTTTGACCGTCGTTGGCTTTTCTTTAACGACACTAAATGCCTTTTGTGTTTCTTAATAACAGCAGACGTCTCTTACAGTATATGTTTTCTCACAGGCCAGGATGAGAATTGTGATGAGAGGTATTTTTAACATGTAACTTCACCACAGGAGTTACTAAATCCAACACAGTTCACCTTCAGGGTTTATATATATAGAGATAATATGAGTGGAGTTATTTTCGCAACTCAGCCACAAAGGAAAACTGTCTCGCTTTCAATGTCTCCATTGCTCTCCTTCATTGTACACCCTCACACACCACACACATTCAAAATGTTTCAAAATGCATGGTGGCCTATTTATTATTGGAGGGGTACTCCAACTGACAAACAAATACCTAGAAATGAATCATCTGGGCAGGACGTGTTTACACAAACACCGCTGAGGGATTTTACGGCTGATGTTTCCCTGTAAGCCTTTACCGCTCTCCCTAACAGTTCCTCTTTTACCCCTCCATGTTCCCAAACACAGTTGATCAAAACAGGCACTAGATGCTGTGCTGCGCCACAAAAACCACCGTACTCTAAAACAAACCTCCTCCTGAAAAGGCTTTAGGGTCCAGATGTCCCTACAGTGTGGAGGAGAAAAAAAGAGGAGGACCACCAGACTTGATAACGTGCTGAGGTCAGACATTAGCTATCCCATATACCCTCCTCTGCACACTCCCTGAAACAAGATCCTAATAACGGAGCCTGGACGTATTAGGAGTCGAGAAACCAACACTACAGGGTCCACGCAGACTAAACAAGTCCAGCTGATGGTGGTAAGAGTTGTTCTGGAGTAGAACCCAGTCCAACGGGCATGCCAAAAAAAGTAAATAAATAAAACAAATATGGAGCGAGTCAGCCACCGGGGCCCCTTTTAAAAATGTGATCAGTTTGGATAATGCCTGGGTGGCACAGTTGTCACCCAAGAACATCCAGTACTGGGTGGTGTTACTGGTGCCGAGGCGTGCAAATACTCACTCTTTAATTCTATTAAACTTACTCGATTTGTCGGTGTTGAAATAATCTGAGCCTTTTCTGAGGGATTACTAATGACTGGGTGGATATTCTGCTAGCCTTGTACCTCAGAGAGCTCACTCTTCTAACAGTGTTAGAGAGTATTACTGCATATTTATACCCACAAACAGAGTACTGCCTGTTTTGTATGAGATGTATTCAAGTTGTCTGCATATTTTGTCCATGAGTGTGGACGTGTTTTTTGCGTGTACTTGGCTTTGAGTGAACAGTTTAGAGATCCATCACTGTGGCTATGATCTCTAATAGCTCCAATGCATATGGTACGCATTATGAAAAACACACACCAATACGTACACACTTTTGAGTTATGAAGTTGCACTCACGCATGCATTCCACTTGTTAAACATTAACTGATAGCCTGCACAGTCACAGAGGGGCAAATGACTGACTGTGTTTTAACATCTGGCTAAATGACCACTGCCAAGATCAACACAGTTATTATAGACAATCAATTTGTGGAACTCGTATTGGCAACTTCATACATTTTAACAAATGTTACCCCATTTCCCAATAATTCCACTTTTCATTGCTCTATTACACAGTCAATACCATAGTTGTCATTTACACACACTGTGGGGAACATTTTTCATTTTACCAAAATTTACACACACTGTGGGGAACATTTTTTATTTTACCAAAGCCGGTCTAAAAAAACTAAAAAAAACAGTTTTTTGCCCAGACAAAAGTTACATTAAAGTAAAAAAAAAAACAGTTTTTTGGCCCAGACAAAAATAACATTAAAGCTCTGATAAAGAAGAAACAAACACATGGAAAAAGATAATTCCACTGTACCGTTTAGGATCCACCAGCTTGTAGAGTTTCCCACTCTGTGACTGGGCCATACTTTTACTGCTCGCCAGGATGTAGACTTCACCTGAGTGAGGATAAAGATGCTATTACAATCTGCACATTATTTATTTTTCTTTCTTTTTCTCTAAGGTTTTCAAAATAAGTTTAAACATCGTGTACATTAATTCAGACGTGAAATGAGACGACGCGAGTGTAGCTCCAGCTTCTGCAGCGCTGCACTTGCCAAAGGACTTTAAGAGAGAGCTTAATTGGACAATTGGATACTCATGACTGGGAACCAGCCGGATAATTTAATGAGGAACAAGCCTACGAGAAAATTCCATAAGGGGACAAATTGTAAACATGTGTTTTTGAGGGCCGTACTTTCAGACACACTTCTGCTTCCATCTATTAATTTTGCAAATTGAGACCAGTTGCGCGGATCTTTAAAAACCTCATCAAATAATAAGTCCAAGACCTGGACGGAGTGTAATCAGACATTTTCAGACAGCTGTGTGAGTGGTCCACACATCATGTGTTCACTGTAATTAGAACCACAGAGCTGACGGTTAATGTGTGTCTGTGTGTGTGTGTGTGTCTGCTGGGCCCGATCACTGGAGTGTATTATATTAACCTGCTCCCCTCGGCTCAGCTTATCTTAACGCTTCAGCCTCCAGGTAAACATTAACGCACTTCTCTATGTCCAGGAAAAACACTGCCTCCTAGGTGGCCCCGATGCAACGCGCAGGTCTTTTGGAAAAGGATTGTAATCTCATGGAAATGACAATTAATCCCTGAGGAAGAACAGCTGAGAACAAAATACTGCAAAAATACAGTTTAATTACTGATGGAATACTTAAGAAAACAGTAAAAAAAATACACATTTACAACGAGCAGGAAACAGATTCATTTAGCCATATAATAAACCTGCCGAGTGTCGTAAGATAACATTCTTAATTAAATAGAAGAACAGATTGGTTTTAAGCCAATGAAGGATATTTTGGCATGTGACATGGAATGTATATAAGTTTCCTCTACTCACCGAGTTCATCCTCACCGAATCCCAGGATGTGTCCCATAAACATGGAGCCACAGGAACCGAAGGAGCCCAGACACAGAGCCTTCTCCTGCCACTGTTCCTCTGGTTCTGATGTCGACGTCGACGTCTTCTGAAGGATCCGTAGGTTTCTGCGTCAACAGAGCACAAAGGGCAAAGGTCATGTATCACGGCGACTGCTCTGACCTTATGATGATCAGCTACAGAATAACGATTATAAACGATGCCGTATCAGCGACACATTCAGACACAGCTCTGTGGTGTTGATCGTCTCAACAACAGGACGGCGTCTCTTCTCGTCTCCATGGGTCACTGACCCGTCTTCCTTTTCCACTCCATGTCTTACACGGTGTTATTTAAGGCCTGTGCTCTTGGTTTCCAAACAAACATCATGCTGGAGCCACCAGTTAGCCACAACAATATGCCTCAAATTATAATGAGGTGCAGGGTAAACCGACCACACAGTGAAAACAAACATGTCTTCCGCCTAAGTGTGTGTTACGCTGCGTTTACACCGGAACACACAAAAGATGCAAAAGACACATTTTTTTGGATTCAGGTTTGAAAAAAATGAGGATAATTAAGTCAAGTTAAACAACTTTAACGTCTGATACTAACTGATGAAGACGATAATCAAAGTCCAACCCTTTCTGTGTCGTTTTATCACTTACCCATTTTTATCACCAAACACGTAACTCCCGTACAGCCTCCTGGATTGGCAGCCTCTGTAAATAAAGCCTCCTACAGGTGGCGCCCCTCCGGTGGAGTGCAGGTCATAGACAGAAGGCTCATTCTCTGGAAGACAAGGATGTAAAGATTTTCATTTTAATATACCAGTGTTTTCTTGTAAACAGACGAAACAGGATATTTATTGTTTTGTTTTTGTCACTGTTTTTCTTATTTTATGCAAATATTAATGATAGATAGCACTTTATTAATATCTTGGGAATTCTTTTTGGGAAATTTAGGAAGAAAAAAAAAAGTCATATCGCTACAGTGTTTGGTTGAGCAGCCAGTCAGATAAAATCTGCATTAGTAAAAAAATAATTTTGTATTTGTAACTGTAGTTAGATAGCATCATTGATTAGTAAAAAAATAATTTTGTATTTGTATCTGTCGTTAGATAACATTGTTTTGATGCACATTTCAGCAGACTGAGCTCATGAATAGATTGATTTTTAATAGACCTTGTCCATTAAGTTGAGATCCAGCAGCTAAACTGACAAAAGTTTTGGCCGTAAATAAATCCTTGCGCGTCGTCTTTACATTGAACCAAAGAAATGATCAGATAAAGAGTGAACAAAAGAGTTATGACTTAATCAACAAAAACTCTTCATCTCTGCTCAGATGTCGAGGCTACATTTTCAGCTGAAGTCGTCCTGGCAGGGAGGAATGAAAAGAGGTTTTTCTTCCTTTAAAACTTTATGATCCAAGACTCGGTGTTGCCTATTTTCCAACAGTAATAATTTTGGTGTTTGGGCAGAGAAAGAAGACGGGGCTGAGATGATCTGTCTTTGAAAGGATAAATTCGATTGCCAAACCTTTTTTTTTTTTTTACTGAGGCAAAGATAGTCAGTCCAGCGTAATTTAGAACAAATAGTTTTTTTTGTTTTGTTTTTTCCTTTCAAGGAGACTTTGCCAAAACACTGACCAGACGCAAGTGTTATTGATTATTTTCTCTGCGTGGGAAAAGATCAGCCACCGTCAGCTGTGTTTTCACAAATGCTTAAGCGTTATCGCAACAGTGACTGCTGTTGACAGCTGTAGGCCTTACCTGTGGACTAACTTTCACATTCCATTGGCAAATCAATAGTCTGAAGCAGGAGAGTATTCCCAAGTCAAATCATTTCAACATTTAACCTCGTAATCAACCCAGTGTTGCTTCTTTTTTTTTCTCCGTCCAAAAACAACTCACTCACATGAAATAAAACATGTGACATTAACAGAACAAACGTGCGGTCTTCAGGACTGTCATTTTTTTTTCTCGAGACGTAAACATGTCAAAACACAGACGCACGAGACAGGGACTGAACGCCGTCCAAATTGGCAGAAATGTCAGCGGCAGAAATGATAACCAACCGTAATCTTTCCCCTTCGTGATCTCCAGTATTCTCCCTGTCGACGTGTTTTTGCCACTGGCATCTGTGCAGAGGATGAGGAGACTTCCGTTGTCCGTCTGAAGCCGGTCCACTGCACATCTGAAGGACATCACGCCAGACATTATGACTTCGAGATTGAAGTGAGAGAGCAGCCGCTACAGATCGACTGTGACCTTCATTTAAGAATCATCAGAATCAGTGAGAGGTTTGACTGACCTGCCTGGATCGTGTAAACCATGTGCAAAGATTTCAGGAGGCTGGTTGGTGCTGTTGAAGTATGGATTGTTCCGGGGTATGGAGTACGGTGATGAACAACAGTCTGTGTCCACGTCCACCCTCAGGACCGACCCCGTGAAATCACTGCATCCAAACAAACAATTATCAGAAACGTAGCGGTGGCGCTAACCTCGAAGGTGAGCAGTCACTCCATCCTTCACACCAACCCTCATGTTTAGAACCTCACCTCAGTCCATCCATTTCCTCCATGTCATCCAGGGTGATCATTCCGTCTCCCAGGATGATGTGCAACAGGCCGTCGGGGCCAAACAGCAGCTGGCCGCCGAGGTGTTTCCTGTGTAGCTCGGCTACTTCCATTAACACACGGACGGTTCTGGTGTCCACCTGGTTTGGGTTTTTTCTGAGGAAAAACACAAAACCATCACGTGGTTTCTTTGAATTACACCACATCTATACAACGGCAACAAGCAACCAGAAAAATACACCAGTGACAGTTGGCCCTGAAGTGACCCTTCATCTGAGAAAGAACAGTTTGATGCTTTGGAACCATTAACCTAAACATAGTTACTTGGACGTACCCTGTTTACTTTACAGAACCAAATGTTGAGGAGCGAACACAACATTAAAAAGAAAAACTGACGTGAAATATAAGCTGGGCAGAGGCCGCGCTCCAAGTTTGAACCACCAAATATCTTCCCACATACCATATCCCTGCAGCTCAGGCTGCTGTTTATACCTCGTTGGAGACCAGAAAATGATGACAATTCAATCCATCTCCCATATCTTTTGTTTCTTGACTGGAAGTAGCATTTTTAATTTACAGCACTGTTTACACCTGTCTACAACTATAGCAATGTAGGTATCATTTTAAAATGTTAGCATCAGTAACGGCATGACAAGCTATTGGCTATTAACTATTGACAAATGATAACACAAAAACATTGTTTGTTTATATGTGAAATATATAAGACTTTTTAAAAGTATGTTTTCATTATAGACATTGACGTCTATCCCATGTTTTTGTGGTGTTTTTTGAGGGCTGAGACACAAGACTGTTTGATCTTTAGGTGCGCTCCAATAGTTAGAACATGCATCCTTATCTTCTGGGTCAAAGTACGGGCAGGAAATGATGGATCATCATGTGCACTGTGCTGTAACCAGGCAGAGGATAATACATCAAACTGAAGATCAGGGGTTTTTATTCAAATCTGGTTTTGGTCAAATTTTAGACAATCTATTACAATTAATTTTGGAATGAAATGTCCTACATGTTTTGAAAACATCTTGAGTACTTCTGTAGTATTTGACTTATTATATCAATGTATCACATCTCATTCATTTGAACAATTTCAAGTATAATCTTTCTTATAAAAATAACATTAACATTTCTCTACATATTTTCTATTTAACTCTGTGTCAAAGATGTCTTTGTTAGGACAATTCTGGAGGGACGTCTTCGCCTCGTCCGAGGAGTGAAATCAAAACCAAAACCTGAAACATGTCTTACATTTTGAACCTTTTGAAATGATGACATCTGTCTTGTTATTGACCCAGCATCAATATGTTTGAAATGTGTTGGTTAAGTTTGCAATTTTGTCAGAATCTGTCGGTGGACACAAGCAGAACTGAATATTTAACGTGTTCAACGACTGTTGTCTGGAGACCTGGAGTTTAAATCCAGGTCACTGCCTCATTACAGCAGATACAGTGGGTGGAACAGTCAAGATGTAACACAGACTTTACAACGTTGCACAACTCCTCGTGGACAGAGACGACCTGGAAACATGGAGACAAGCATCGACAAATATTTCTGGATGAGTCATTTTACGGATATGTGTGTATTTTGAGTTATTTCGGTTTCTTTTTTTTTTTTTGCGTTGAAGCTTGCCAGAACATTCCCAAACCATCATCATTATGTTGTGTCATTTCACTTTCAGTCCCTCAAATTAAAGAGTTCAGCGCAGCAACGGGATTTTCTCAGATTAGATCGTACAATTGTGATGATGAAAATTTAAATGTGACACCAAAACACATTTACAGTAGTTTGCACTTAATCACGGGTCATTGTTAAGGGCGTGTGACATATTACGACAGCGGAGGAGAAACCACACTGTTGTCGTCACGGTGGAAGTTCCACCCATTCATCACAGCCCGACAGGGCAGGCTGCTTAGAATTTTGACATACATCGTGAACTCCTATAAGACAAAAATTGTCATCATGTCTCGCCGTGCCCATCTGGCTGTCATATTTACTGTTATTAACAAAGTTTAACCTAATTGGCCAATTAAAACACTCCCTTAATGAGGCACTAACTAGTATTTACCTCTCGACTTATTTACCAATTCAGCAACGAGTAGATAAAGAAGAAATTAACAAAAATACTAACGATTGTGAGCGGTCATTATCATTTTAGAAAGTGGTTCCCAAACGTGGGGCGCAGACACTGCCAGATGCCGTGGAACTGTAGCAGAGGGGCGTAACAAGGACAAATAATTTAATTTTCTTCGGAATGTTATTTTCAACATCTATGGTTGAAAAAACTTTATAAACAACTCAATGTTTCACTATTTCAGAATGTACTACCCATCACTACAGAAACGACAAGGGAGTCGTTAAAAATTCTGTGTGAATATGATTAGACAGTGCATACGATTGACAGTTGAACTGTCCAATGGGAAGCTGGCTGTTCTGACATTAGTGACATCACCACTGACCGGACCACTTGTTCGAGGACATTACAGAAACAGTAAAATGTCATAAATAGTCCAAAGTAGAAATCGATTTATATTTTACTCCTGAGCTGCGATGGTTCTACATATTTACAGT